TCTGCATGACACGGGTCGCTCTGCATGGGTCGGCGTTTGGGAGAGAGGCGGGAGGGGGTGGGGGTGGGGGGGGGGGGGGTGAAAAGCCAGGTTAAGATTGCGATTAGGTTGTAAGTCGGTAAGATTAGAAGGATTAGATATTAAGGATGATTAAAAGATCATGAAGGATAGAAGGCTTGTTAATACAGGAGGGCTAAAATCTCTAAAAATAAAACGGAAATTTGAGATGTTTTATACGGCATAAAAATGGGAATTAGAAACAGGAAGACCAATGGAGAAAGGAAAGAATTCTGAACCCATGCCCTGCACTGTAAACATGATATTAAATAAAACACGCATTGTGTAAAACCAGAATTTTTTTTTTTTTTTTTTTTTTTTTTTTTTTTTAAAAGCAACAACGTATTTGAAACCTGCTGTTGCTTCTTGGCAGTCCATGCAAGGTGTTTGTCTTAATCTGAGGCACTGTTTGTTTTTTTGATCGTAAGTCTGAAATAAAGCAAAGGGGTTTTACAAGGAATGTGGTTCACTTCCACTCTCTCCTCCTCTCTCTCTCTCTCTCAACTCACACACACAAATACTTGTACGTATGTAGGTCTATGCATCCCCCCGCTCCTTTCACGCAAGGACAAATAAGTTCGTCTACAAAACACGTACCATCCAGGAGGAATACGGGAAGGCATACGGACGGTATGAGAGAGGGTGCTGATGCCGGTCCTGTCTCTGAATTCGTCTCCGGGATGGAAGTTGAAGTGTCCGCACAGACCGTCTAGACTGTCCGTATGGCTAGGGTAGGCCCAGACGTGCATGGAGGAGCGACAGTGCTTAAGCTAACGGCCATAATGTAAAGTGTAGTGCAGTTGTTAAGTAGTAACTGGGATAAAACAAATCAAATCTGCAGTCCATGCTTCATTTTTCAAAAAGGTTATGTCTCAGACCAGGATCTTTATTTCATTTTTCTTAATAAGTCGGTTTCTCTCACCATGATCTTGGAAGCGCCGAAGAGGATGACACAACCGTCGCTCTGCCACACTAGGACTGGGTGGGTCGTCGGGCCGGATGATATGACTGGCACGATCCCGGTTTTGGGTATGACGAAATCTTCGCCATTTACTATTATCTGTTAGTGTTTAGTATATGAAAAAGTACATTTAATGAATATATAAACAAAGAGAAGAGCGACGGAAAAAGAGAACAGATTCAATGGCTTTCTTGATATCGTGATGGGAAATGGCTACTGACCGTGTTATTGGATCTGCTGGACAAGGTGATGATGGTGTTCGGATTGTCTCGAAACGTGGTCGTGTCCAAGCAAGAGGCGCGGCGGTTACAAGGCTGGAAATCGCTGAACACACCTGTCCGGGGGTCGTAGGACAGATCGCTCTGGGCAATGGAGTAGTTGCAGGTGCCGTGCCAGTCGTACCGGTAGATGTCAAAGGTTATGATGTGCGGGTCGTTGTAAAGACCACATCGACTACCTATGGGAAAGTAAAATGGGATATAAGTGAATAGATTTTCTCTTTCACAGCTCAGATTGATACCTGCGAGAAACGCAAAACTTTCAGCATAATTGAACAGTGAGATATATATATAAGCCTACATCAGAAATCAAATATACCATAGTCCTCATGAATACGAAAGATAACGCTGTAAGAAAGATTATTCCGTAAACAAAATAGTCGAAACCCATCACTGTCACGAAAACATTATACCCCCATGTTGCCATCGTTACCAAAAAATACCGCCGTAACACCATCGTCACTGTCTTATGAGGAAAGACTGATGAGTTACTGAACTCACAGCATTTCTCAAGAATCCAGTTCGTTGTCCACTGGCCGTTTCTGCAGCGTAGTTGGGTGCAGTAGCCCGGCAATGTTGCTCCGTCTGAATAAAGGATACCGGCAAACTCACAGCCTATAGGACGAGTTTTTTTTTTCACCATTATTCATTTTGTTGTTTTTTGGCTTGTTATTGTATAATATCTTATGCTGATTTAGGTTATAGGTGTGCATGTGGAGGTACAGTATACGTGTAGTAAACATCTTCATTAGTTTTTTTTATAATTGATATAAATTGGCTCGTTTTAGGGTCTGATGAAAAAGACCTAATTGTTTGCAAGACTTTTTCACTTCACATTATGCTTTTCGTGGCATTACTGTAAAACATAGTAATAACCTATCCCCCACTGCCATCAGACAAAATGTGCAATAAGACCATTATCCGTTGATCGTACCAGATTTTCATACTTCCTAGCTAATTGATACACAGATACCGAAATGCCAAAACCCATTTCATGTCACCTCACAGTCTAAGCTTCAGGGTATTTAGACTCACAGTTTGCATCACCCGGTTGATAGTGATACTTCTCCACAATTCTACCAAATAAACACACCAGCTGCATACAGCACACCGGAAGACTCAGAACCACTTGACCCTGAGGAACCAAGACGTCTCCGTAGGGACAGTATTTCTGTAGTGATTCGAATCTCTCCATAGCGCCGCCCTGACCTGATGTGTAAGGTGGCATTTGTTACTTAAGGATGTATGTAGATTTTATATCTGAACTCTTTTAAGTCTTTTTTTAAATGTGTATCCGATCTCAGGAAACGAAAACTGGCAACTTCCTCGGACTGTGAAGCACTGATTCGAATATCTTTTGATCTTTTACCTAATCAGCGAACCTTAAATCCGTTTACATATGTCTGGAATTTAAGGAATTATATACATTATATCTATTGTTTTACACCACTTTATTCTTTTTCTGGTAAGAGACGGCGAATTATAGTATTCCGGAGACTAGGTTGAGTTGGCAGATATTCCTTTCCTGACATTGGATGAAGAATAGAGAGGTTTAGTGGCACATGTGGTTCAGTCGAATGGGGAGTGGGTTATAGTGCTTAATTCAGTATTTTTTTAGAGGGGAAGGTATAGGCAAATATATATATATATACTCAAAAATAGATCAGCAGATATGTAGGCCTACTGGGACAAAAGAGAAGGGACCCCCCCCCCCACCTTTATATACGATATTGATGATATTTCAGATGAGATTCTTATAAGGGTGTGTGTTGTAGGTACGTCACCATAAGGACAGATCCCCTTCAAGAACAAATCCAAAATAACTGACTCATATGAAAATTCAATTGAATATAAAAGGATCGAGAGACTGTCGAATCTTTACCGTTTTCGCTGAAGGCTTCCATACAAAACATATAAAATATAAATATACATATGTAATAGATACTACATACATTTATAAAATATATTATATATAATATAAGTATATATATATATATATATATATATTATATAGGTTCACAACATAAAATATTTGTGTAACATACATACACACACACACACAGGCACACACAACACACACAACACACACAACACCACATATACTATATATATATATATATATATATATATGATATATATTTATATATTTATAATGTATAATATACATATATAACACACACACACGACACACAGACAACACAACACACCCACACAACACACACACACACAACAACACACACATATACACACACACACACACACACACACACACACACACACACACATATAATACTATATATTATTAATATAATATATATTAGTAATATAATTAAGTAGATACATACATACACACATACCATAAATATTTGTGTATACACATAGCATACACCCACAGACACACACACACACACACACACACACACACATGATGGATACACACACACACACACACACACACACACACACACACACACAACCACATATATATAGACACTATATATATATTATATATATATGTAGTCATATTATAATATTTACACACACACACATGACACACCACACACACACACACCACACACACACACACACACACCACACATATGATATATATATATATATATATATATATATTATGCATGTATGTATCTATCTACATATGTATATTTATATTTACATAAGCTTACAAGCAGCAGACTGGAGGTCATGGATAAATGAAATTGAAGGAAGTAAAGGAACTGAATATTACGCAAGCGCTGAACAGCTGTGTCGTGGCTGATTCTGGGCAAGGCTTCGAGTACAGTCCAAACCTTGAAAAAAGATAAATACGCGAACTGAAATCACAAAAAAGAATAAAGAAATAGAGGTAAGGCGCTTCATACAGATTATGCGGTGATTTAACACACTCAAATTCGAATTAAACGGCATGTTGTTTTGTCAAGTGGAACGAGATTCGAAACTGTTTCATTAGGGTCGAATCCTTCCCGCAAGAGGCTTAGAGAGAAGCGCTGTGGCCGGCGGGAAAATAAAAGTTCATGTTCATTCATTTTTGAAACTGTCCGGAAAAAAAAAAAAAAAAACGTGACAGTTTTTACGTTTCGGAGAGTTAAAAAAAAAAAAAAAAATCTTAGCGTAACATTACTTATTCAAGGGTTTGTAGTATCATTCATCTTATAATTTCTCTGATATCATTAATCAATGTCTTTATCAATCTCTTGCTTATCTATATCTCTGACTTAAAATAAAGTAACTTGAAGTTTTATTCGTCCATAGAAATAAAAACTGTAACTTGCATAGTTGTTACGAAATTAAACGAGTCCGTTTGTTTCCCTCCCCTAAGCCTTTTTTCTACACATGGTTGTATCATATGTAGTTTTCAGTGCATTTATACCTGCACATTTCACTCTCTAGTCCATCATGTTTCGTCTCCGAGTCTAAACGTAAGCTTGTACATGTATGAATGAACCAAATGTGAACTTCCACGCATCAGATCCCAGTAGGATTCGAAGCTGCGTTGTTGGAGTTTCGAAGCAGAATGCATTTTTTGTTTACTTCAGGGAACAGGAAAGATACTTTAAAAAAACATACAAAATACACGGCATTTTGTATGTTTTTTTTTTCTCTCTTTTTCGTTTGTAATGTCAAATTAATTTTCCAGATTTCTTTATGCAGCGGGAGAACTGATATGCAGTTGTGTTCATTATAAC